TTCATCCATATTGGAGGACCCTAATCATTGGAGCGAGTGTTGACATTCCTGATATAGTTGATGAAAATGATGAGGATCGAGCTCATTTCTGCACCCTTGTTGATCAAGTTATTGCCAACGACCCTATGATGCTTAGGCACGTGTCTCGAGTGATTGAGGGTGAGATGGATCCTAACTACGATGACCTTCAGGAGCCTCGAGTCAACCCCCGAGTAAGGGGACGACCTCCCGAGAGAAGGAACAGGCGAGATCCTTCATTTTTCGAGCATGTTCAACGTAATGGGCGAGATAATCGATTTAGAAGTAGACCACCCCCATCTGATACAGGTGATTATCGATGTAATTAAATAATGTTTTTATACATCGTATATTTTAATTTATTTTGTGTAATAACTTAATTATATGTCATATTATGTTTTTTTATTTGTAGGTACCGGGTTCGACATACAACAATGCAGATACAGCTACGCGATTCCCAACATCATTTGGCCTTACATCGTAGGTGTTAAAGACGTAATTGGAGATGGGAACTGCAGATTTCGTTGCGTCGCAGATTTATGTTACGGAGATCAGGAGAAGTGGCGATTGGTTCGACATCATATCGCAAATGAGGTTAGTTCTCAACCTTGGTTGTATAACATGATTTACTACGACATATGGGGTCAACAGGTTGGTTCAAGACTGCAGAGGGAGGTAGACCAGATCAAATGGGATGGTGATGCTTGTGGACAGGAGCATTAGATGGTAGCACAACATGATTTTTTTTTTATTGCCACAATATGGAATATGGTAGTGATTTGTTATGGAGTAGGAAATAGACCATCTAACTATTATCCATCTACCACTGTTTTACCGTTGAATAAATCGTGGACGCTTAGACAGGCCTAGTGCAGAGTTCGTGATTGGAACTGTTGGTGGATTGCATTTCATTCGTTTGCATATGGATCGTGACCATCCACTTTCTCCAATTTCACCATTGTGGTTTAACGCTCGTCATGCAAGTGTAGACAGATGGGAGGCAAGGTACGAGAGAAGGCTTCAATTGTGGCAGACATTAGTTAGCTCTTGAGTACTGTTGAGTAATGTTATGGATTTTTATTAAACTTTATATAACTTTAATAATAAACATGATTATTTTTTTTTAATTTTTTTTAAGCAATTCTTTTTAAAATTTACTAAGTAAGTACTACGTAATTAGAAAATAAAAAACTAATATATAAATGTCAACTTGATAATTCCCAACAAATGTGTAAAACATAAATGTCCACTAACAACATCCAAAACATAGTCTAATAAAACAAGAAGTCAAAGCTAAAATACATATTACAACTAATCTCTAAGTTCATTTATTACATTCCAATCATCAATCACCTGCTCCAACATTGCTCTGGTGTCCCTTGATAGCGTAGGGTACTCACTAAGTGATCGTTGCGCCGTAACCATGAATCGCCCTACCCACTACACAAACCATTATAATTGTGTATTAACAGTAATAATAGGGAAAAAATAATTAAATAAAAAAAAACTAACAAAAAACTTACGTTATCAACGTTGGTCCTCTCAGGAAGACCGTGATCATCCTCAACATTAGGAGTGACGATAGGATGGCTAACTCCCCTAAACCATGGTAGGTAGTCAGGTGCACAAGTATGTCCGCCACATGGAACTCTAGTATATCCACCAAGCAAAAGACTGAACGCAGCACCGGGGACAAATCTATCCCAAATGAGAGTGGTCATCTGAGCTGAAAAATTGACCCTATAAGACTTCACACTAAGTGGTCTCTGAACATCATCAGGCCTAATCATGTCACCGGGAATCTCCTGTATAAACCCCAACTGTCAAACAACTCGATCGGGTATATATGGCTATATGATGCCCCGATAGCGAATACATCCTGTAATAATAGTCTTAGGCCCCTGTTGTGCAGGAAAAGCTCCGTATGACAACCAACATACCTGCAAATTAGTACAAGATCAACTGTAAATAAAAGCAATATAAAACAAATAGTAATTATGTATCTATTTATACCTCATGGTCGCCCAGCCGGTCAAGTCGAGTACGAAAGGACACGAGACGCTGTTGATGCTTTCGCATCATACCAACATCCCATAACCCTGCATGAGCATGAGGGACGTCTCGTGTCAACACACCTTGGTGAGGCCGAAAACATGGAAAGTACTCGTATATCCAAGCCTATAGAAGAATCAAATAGCCCACGATAGAATCACATCCATTTCGGGTGGCATGACCAAGCTGACGATACAAGTACGCTAGTGTGGCTGAACCCCAGGAGTATCTCGTCAACCTCTCTAGGTTATCCTCCATACACAACTCATTGAGAAAAGAAGGGTGAGTACAGTTACCGCTCTTGTCAATAAACCCAAAAGGATCCACATATAACCAATGGCCCGAACCGCCTCCGGCTGCTCCTCACTACGACCCCTAGCAATAATCTGGTCAATATGGATGCCACCATTCCTGTAGATGGCATTTCGAGTCTTGACCTGTAGCTCCTTTAGAGTCAACTGTAACAACCCACCTACCAATGTCCTATACTAGTCACTAGGGAGATCACCGGCAACCATATCCCCATCAACCTGAATACCATGTATGTGGTGTACGTCGTGCAACATGATGGTAATCTCACCAAAAGGTAGGTGGAATGCCATCTCTCAACAAAAGCAGAGGAAAATCAAGGTGGTCGTGCATAATGCTAGGCAGGTGCGACAACCTAGTTTGCTGTATCCGCATAGTATTGGCAGTCGTAAATCGCTCTAGCCAGCCAGTCAAGTCTCTACACACACCAACTCTAGTATGACACCGCAAAAACCGTTGATCTTCCCCATCCCAAATATGTCGAGCAACATGGGCCCCGAAACTAGGAATAACGCCCCCATCCTCGGGCCCACTATCCGTCGGCCCCTGAACAAGCCAAGACGCTGCAGATCGAGGTGGTCGTGAACTCATAAATTTCCCATCAGGACCTCTCGTCACGCAGGCGGCTGCTCTTCAGCATCAGCCTCACCCTCATCTTCATCATCATCAGGTCCATCATCCTCGTACCTCAAACCCGAACCCGGAGTCCTCAACAAGCATTATGCCAACCACCGGCTACGTCCTGCTCATCCAAATGAATCCCATAATCATCCACTACCCTGTTGCGCTCCGGTACTAAACTACCTTCCCGTATACTAATCCCCCTATCTCTCCTAATTGACGCGTTAATACTGCATGATCTAGCATGCCGTGGACCAAAACCCTCAACTACATTCTAAATTTAAAAAATAAATTATAATATTAATAATAAAAACAAAATAGGTGATGCAAACAATTGAAAACAAAAGAAAACCTATAATGTGTTCTATGTGTCATTTTAATAAAATCATTACGAGTATTAAACAATAATAAACAACAACAACAACAACAACAACAATAAACAGCAACAACAACAATAATAAACAACAACAACAATAATAAACAACAATAATAATCATTTTAGGACAGCTAATGAATTATATGCTATATATATATGGTTTAATTTTTTAGGTGGAAAAAATCAAAGGAACTCCCGAAAGCTCAAAGTAAGTACATTTACACCGTAATTTTTTGTCATTAATATTTGAATTTTCGAGTTATCCCAAATGCATCTTGGAATACATCAACACAAAATTAGTTAATACTGCAACTACACAGCAGCCTCATCTTCGTGGCTCAAAAATAGAAAATGCCAAGAAGGGAAAAAATGGCTGCTGCTACCATACCACCTACTACAAACATAATTCCAAAGTAGTAGAATACACCTAGCAAATATTAGGCCATCTAAAGATACCACCCCTTCCCTTCAAGCTATATTGCACTTTCCATACGATCAACTTCGTATACATCCTTGGTGGTTCATACGATTTATTTTTTTTTTAATTTTTTTTAAAAAGGCAGAAACGCCCACTTTTTTCGTCAGATCTAGGCTGAAACGCCTAGATCTTTCGAATAATCGTATGGGTGATCGAAATTTCTAGGTGTTTCACCCAAACCGCCCAAAAAATTCGATTAACCACCTGGTACTACGAAAGATTTAGGCGTTTCAGCCTTGATTTGGCGAATTAATTGGGCGTTTTCGCCAATTCCAGAAATTAAAAAACAACTGACCTTGTCTTTGGCGACTCTTTCGACGACGGCCTTCCCCTTATCCCTCGGGATTTCCACACGAAATTATATTGAGATAGTATAAAGAGGTGGTGTGGGTTGGTAAATGGTGGTGGTGGTGGTTTAGAGGGAGAAAATTTTTAAAGAGAGAGTGTCAAGGTGAATTCTGGTTGTGTAAATGGTGGTGGGTTAAAATTATGATTGTAAGGGTAAATTCTTTGTTTATATCTATGAGGATAAATTCGTAAACATATATTATTTTGCGGGCGTTAGTTAAAGATTTGAGGGCGGTATTTAACAACCCTTGGTATAAAAGGTGGTACCGCTAATAGAAAATAGTTGAGTTCATATTATTTTACACAATGTTAATAATTGGTATTATTTTAAGCCAATTTTTCTAAAAATAATCGAAGTTGGGATTATTTTGAGCAAATGAGTCAAAGTTCGAATTATTTTGAGCAATTTTTCTAAAATAAAAAAACTTTTTTTTTTTTCAAAAAATTGGGTTCGCACTGAAACCTTAAACCCACCCTAAATACGCCCCTGGCTGCATCCTTCCCTCTCTTTCTCCTCCATTGAAGCATACTCTGAAATTCTCCATTGAAGCGGCTTCTGAGCTTTCTCCCCTCCATTGAAGCAGCTTCTGAAACAAGGTACCTTCCTTTTAATTATCGAATATCAATTTCATAATCAATTGTTTAATTCCACACTTTCGTTAATTTAATTTTCAGTATACTCAATCTAGGGTTCAGATGATTGAACTATTGTATATAATTACTCGAAGAATTTAAAATTTGCCAATAAAGTCAAATTTGGTTGCTAAATGTGTTGCAGTCCTCTGCCCATATACATAAATGCCGCGAACAACCACAATCGAATGCCCAGGTTGCCCACCATTAAGAGCCCTAACTTTCGACGTACTTGGCCTTGTTAAAGGAACTAACTTTAATATTAATTTATGCTTAATATTACCGTACAATTTATTCATACAATTTATTCATTTCATGGGTGTTTTTGTTTTTTATTTTTTATTTTTATTTTTGTTGAATAATTTCCTTACAAAATTGTCGCCATTGTTGTTCAGTAATTGAAGCTCGGAGTAAGCTAGATGGAGTTCCTAAGGTTGTAGAGAGGTGGGGTGACCCTGATTCCTCTAAAGCTATCCCCGCCGCTTCTATCAATGACAGAAAATCCAACCCTGTATGTATGAGTTTTCTGTTCCTATGTTTGTTTATATTTTTGCTTATGTTCTTACTTTTTTGTTTGCGTGTTTTTGTGAAGTTAGTGTATTGTGATGATCTTGTTGTTTTGGTTTTTGTATTGTGTTTGCTTAAGTCTAATATTTTGTGTTATTGCTTGACAACGTCTTCTTACTGCGTTTGAGGACTGTATATTTGTTTCACTGGCTATAGTTCTTGATGAAATGGAGTTTTAGCCTCACGGTGCATGTTTGGGATTGTAGTTTAACTATCCCTGTGTAGGTTTAAAGTGTGTTCTATTCACTTAATTTGTATAAGTGGAAATAATGTGAACATGAAGAGGGCTTCGCTGTTAGAGTATGAGTTCAAATTACATCATCAGTTTGACAATTAAATCTGGAAGGATGAAGCTGTATTCCAGGGGTGTGCCATGTCATATACTTTCTTGTCTGGTTTAACATGCTCGTATGCCTTAATTTCATAGGAAAAGTTGTTGATTTTGTACATATTATGCTACTGCATTGTATCTATTCAATTGAAAAATCTTCTAAATATTGTTATTGATTGCTGCAGTTGCCAGGAAAAATGGTGCAGTAAGTTGCTTGCTTCCCATGTCAACACCAATGTAAATGGTATCATGCGTATCCTGTTTTAAGCTCATAGTTTTTTGCTGCGTTGTGTACACGGTATTGTACTATTCAGATTGAAGTTTTGAGTCCAGTTACTGGAGAGTTGTGTTTTTCAATTTGCAATGATGGTGATGACACTTCTCAATTAGATGACCCGATTGCTGGATTGCATTTATTTAAAAAGCGGATGGTAGAGTCATCATCAAGGTAGGTCATTTTAACTCTCTTTGTATGACATCAGGAAATAAAAGTTTCTTTTTGGTTTTTAAATTTTGACCTGAGTTACTAAAGGATACAATGGGGTCACTGTGGTGGTATTAAATTAATCTCTATATGTTTTATGTGTAACTAGGTCGTGCACCTTGCTTTCTTGTACAACTAAAGGGAAAGCAAGCTTGAGGAGAATTGAAGATTTTGATTCACACACTGGTTCTGTTTCTTCTGCTACTCCAGAAACGTGGAGTGTGTGCGGTTCTGGTGAGATTTGCTGCTCCAAAGTACATGCTAATGAAGGCTACTCTGTGTTTGGAGGGTAAGCCTTGTGTATTCAGGACTATATTTCTTAAGAAATTTAAAAATTAAGATCTTTTACTGTTTCATTTCATTTAAATAATGCTAATTTTGTGTTGAATGATATGCTTTAATTTCTGTTATTATGTTTCTTTTTAGGAAAGGCATTGAAATTAACATGTGGGACCTGGAGAAGACTAGTAAGATTTGGAGTGCAAAATCTGTAAGCTAAATAATTGTACTAATTAATTCCTTCCTGAACTGCAATGTGACCTTGTTGTTTTTCACTTTTGTCAAGCAGACATAAATTCTAATTATTGTTGTTATGCTTTTCCAGCCCCGAGCGAATAACCTTGGAATTTTTACGCCAACTTGCTTTACATCTTTGACCTTCCTAAGCAACGATGATCATCGCAAGGTTGTGGCTGGTACCAAAAACCACCAGGTAATATTAGCTAATGGAGATTCTTGTTGTCAGTTGTTTGGAGGCAAATGGGGTCCTTTTTAAGACCATGCTTTGTTTTATTAACTTCCTTAGATTTGGGAGATCCTTATATAGCCAGTTTCCTATGAGTGGTGGGGGGGGGGGGTAAGGGGGTATGTGGAATTTCCTATGTTTTTTTTCCCCTGACGTAGACATGTCTGAGCATATTTGTAATTACATAAGCTATAGATTGCAATCTGCACTATTTCTTCAGAAAAGGTTTTCTCTTTGTTGACTTAGGGTCTGAAATGTCTCGACTTCTATTACTCTGGGTAAAGATGCATGAGCAATGCTCCATATCCTTTCCTAAGATCAGTCTGGGTGCATATTTGAGCAGATGGAGAGTAGCTTTAGTAATTCCCATCTAGGGATGCAAGAACTTTTTCATAGACTCAGCACACGATATGGGTGAAACTGTCTTTGCTTGTCTAAGTGTCACTTTCTATCAGCCACTAGTGGTTTACTCTTGGCCATGGTTACTGCATTACTTCATGGATATTTTTATACACCATTATTTATTTAAAGTGTTTGTACCCTGTGGAGACTACCTATTCTCATTGGGGACCTAAAAGTGTATCTGAATAAAAGCTAACCTAAAAATGAGGAATACATTGGGTATTTATAGCCCACAAAAGATAAGCCCGAAAAAAATAATATGTCGGCTAAAATATAACCTCGCCTGGTCAGACAGGGCAAACATCGCCCGACCGGGCGAGCTAGACTGCTTCAGACTTCTGTATGCTGCAATTCCTTCTTTGCCCGGTCAGACAGGGCGAAGCTTACCCGACCGGGCGGACAGGGTCTGAATGTGTACTGACTTATTCTACGCATAATCTCTTTCATTGCTTGCTTCCTTTATTGCCCGGTCAGACAGGGCAAGGGTGGCTCGACCAGGCAAGCTGAAATACTTGCTTCTTTAATTCATAACTCTTCCAAACATCAAATGGGAACGCGTCCGATCCTTCGTTTAAGCTCCATATTCCTGATAAACTCTAAAAATAGATCGAACATACTAAAGAAGAGATTGTTAGCAAGAAATAGCTCCGTAGAGCTTAAAATCATGTAAAATATCGTAGTGAACCCGGGGAAAAACATAGTATGAAACGCATATATCAGCCGTAGCCAGAGAAAGAGGAATAGTCTATATATGTACCATTGGGTGTCAAGATCCACATACCCCCTGGTCGTACCTAAAACTAGTCTGGGCGTAAGGTCTCAGGTGTAATAGCCCCACGACGAGCATAGTTGTCTACATAGGAAATAGACCCCTACCTGTGTTCCTCTCCACAAAAACCCACCCTTTGGTTAAGAGACCCAACTATCCTCCGAAGTCCCCTAACCTCTAATCTAAGCTCCTTCTGACCCTTCTCTATCCTACCTATGGCCCAACCTATACTCCTAAGGTCCTAAACTGGCTCTGGGTTTGGTCGAGGCTGATGAGGGGGTTGCTGTGGGATGTGTGGAATGTGTGATTGTGGTTGGGGCTGGGCCTGTGGCTGAGCCCCGGGAAGTAGGTGGGTGTAGGTATAAAACTGCAGAATGGAGGGAAAGTGGGTAAACTCCGTGTTAGGGAGGGAGAACACAGACACGAACTTTCTCCCTCTTTGGACTAGCCACTGCATTTTTAAATGGTTTATTAAAGGAACATGTTTACGTTGAACAACCCCCTGGATTTGAAAATCCAAACTTTCCTAACCATGTCTTTAAGCTTGATAAAGCGTTGTATGGATTAAAACAAGCCCTTAGGGCATGGTATGAAAGACTATCAAAGTTCCTTCTTGAAAATGATTTTAAAAGAGGAAAAATGATAAAACCTTGTTTTTAAAATCTAAAGGAACTCATTTATTAGTTGTACAAATCTACGTTAATGACATTATTTTTGGTGCAACTAATGAATCTTTGTGTAAGTATTTTGCTGATTTGATGAGCAGTGAGTTTCAAATGAGTATGATGGGGGAACTCAATTTCTTTCTCGGTTTGCAAACCAAACAAACTGAAACAGGTATATTTATTCATCAGCAAAAATATGTCAAGGAACTTTTGAAAAAGTATGACCTTGAAACAGCAAAGATTAATCACACACCCATGGGCACTAATGTTAGACTAGACGAAGATCCCTTGGGAACTTGTGTGGATCAAACGAAATATAGAGGTATGATTGGTTCCTTATTATATTTAACTACAAGTAGACCTGATATTTCTTTTAGTGTTGGTCTTTGTGCTAGGTTCCAATCCAATCCAAAAGAGTCGCATCTAACTGCCGTAAAAAGAATACTGAGATATCTTAAAGGAACGGCTGACTTAAGTTTATTCTACCCACTAAGTGATACATTCGATCTCAAAGGATTTGCTGATGCAGATTATGCCGGAGACTTAGTAAATCGCAAGAGCACGTCAGGTATGGTTCAATTCTTAGGCTCTTGTCTAGTTTCTTGGAGTTCCAAGAAACAAAACACTGCTGCTCTATCCACTGCTGAAGTAGAATATGTAGCTGCTGCTGCATGTTGCTCCCAATTAATATGGATAAAGCAACAATTGCGTGATTTTGACATAATTTTAGAATGTGTTCCTATATACTGTGATAATACTAGTGCTATATGCATCTCAAAAGATCCAGTACATCATTCACGTGTAAAGCATATTCATGTTAGGCTTTATTTTCTAAAAGACGATGTGGAAAAAGGCTCTATTAAATTAGAATTTATACAAACTGAATATCAAATTGGTGACATTCTAACAAAGCCTTTGAGTAGAGAAAAATTCGAAAAGATGCGATTGGAACTCGGAATGATAAAGCTGAATTGAGCAGTTCTTCTTGGAACCCCAAGATATGTTTTAGTGAAACGACTGAGCATTGCTATATATAACCTTGGTGTGAAAAAACATAATCTCGAATCTTGCAATGAAAGAGTGTGTAATTTTAATGAGTGTGTAATCATGTGATTATGTTGATGAAGAAGAAAAATTAAGCCATATTATTTTCCAAGTTCCTTTTTGAAAAGCTCTGTACAGGTCAACCAGTATTTTACTTTGAAGTAACTTACTGGAATTGTTTTTCTTTCATAATTTTTAATTTTCTTTATCTTTCAATTTTTATTTTTATCTTTTTATCTTATAAATTTCAAAACAACAAAAAGATTTTTATTTTCTCAATTAGATTTTATCTTAATTTTATCTTTAATTTTTTTTATCTTAATCATTGTAAATGAATCACAAAACCCTTCAACTTCCCCCATTAACCCTCAACCGTCACTTCCAACCCTCCTCAAAAGTCGCATCATCACCCGTCACTTCTCATAAACCCCTCTTCACCTTCAAGTTCCCACCAACCTCCATTAATACACTTCTCCTATTTTCTCAAAATTCACTCAACCATGAAAACCAACATCAATTCCAACCCCTTTGAACGAAGATCCGGACGGAACTCACCATCAAAACCCGTCCCTCCAACTATGATAATCCCTTCCTCCTCTCAAGCTCCAAAACGCAAGGCTACTCAACCCAAGGAAAAACTAGAAAAAACCAAGGCCCGTCGCACCGCAGTACCCTCGAAGAAAGCCCGGCAAACCCGAAACAACAAATTCTTACTTGGCTATGCAATTCATTACTCATGGTGCACGGATTGTAAGTTTTCCGAAATTTTAGAGTTGTTGGATTATCAAAATTGGATATATTTGTTGGATTTGTGTACAAAGCTTCCAATTTATCCTACGTTAATGGATGAATTTTGCTCCTCTTTTGTTTGCGTTGATGGTGTATGTAGTGCTACGGTTGGTGGTGTGAATATTGAGTTTGATGCAGGTTATTTGGCCAAATTGTTTAAAAGCCCAAATATTGGATATAGAACCTATGTCAAAAACAAATCCAAAAACACCGTAGATGGCCACAATGAAACCGAAATTGTCACATTTATTGGTGGAAACCCGAAAATTACTAGAACTAACCACAATGCCTTAACTCCTTTGCATAAACTATAGTTCAACATCATTTGGAGAGGAATTCTTCCTCGTTCCCAAAAACGAAGTACTGAACCCTGTTAGATGCATCCCTCATCTTCTGTCTTGCAAAGAAAGTTAGCATAAACTTTCCTGCCTTACTGATAGCCCATATGGACCATTGCATTCCCGACTTACACATACCCTATGGTTCCCTTTTGACAGTTGTGTTTTAGGATTTGAAAGTTCCTTTGCCACAAACCGAGATTTACATTCTCAAGCCTGAACACATCCTTCAAGAAAAATAATTGTTAAAGCTGAATTTAAAAGTGGTGAATGGGAATGTTTGTTTTGCATCTGATGTGCAAAGTGATTCTGAGGGGGAACACAGTGAGGGGGAAGGAGGTAAGAAAGAGGAAGATAATGAGAAAAATACAGAAGAAATTGGTGAGAAAGAAATAGAAAAAGATAGTGACAAAGAGGTCGAAGAAGACAAGAGTGATGGGGCAGTAGAAAAGAAGAGTAGCAAAGGAGAGAAAACAGAAGGTGAATCAGAGGACGCAGGAGAAAAAGAAAAAGAGAAAGATACAATAGCAAAAGAGAGTGAGAGTGAGAAGGAGGAAGAGGATGATCAAGAGGAATTAATGAGAGAGTTGCTTCAGGAAATTGGGGGCTCTGTCAAACACACCCCTGTAACAGGCAAAAGAAGGAGAGGTATCAGACTTGCTACATCTAAACCCAGGACCCTGCAATCTGAGCTTGTTATTATTGCGTTGGATGATGATTCAACCAAAGTTTTTGAAGGAGATTCCAGCCAAGTTCCTCAGGGTCCCTCCTCATCTGTTCCAGAAGAAACTCCATCACCACCTCCAATTTCATCCCCTGCTCACCGCACCACACCTTCTCCACCTGCTTCACAGCCTTGTACTTCTGGTTTCGGATTCAGTGCTTTTAGCTCTGGTCCAAGTTCCTTGCAAATCCAGGAGGAACTTAAGCTTTTGTCCACTACACTTACACAGAGTATAACTAACCTTTCTTCTAAAGTGGATAACCTGGCTACTAAAGTTGAGGGGCTGCAAACTCAGATGCTTTCTCTGGAAGATAAAGTAAACGCTCATATGGACTCCTCAACTCGGGAACTCAAAGCTAAGGTGAAGGAAAGTTGTTACAAGACCATTCTTGATGCGATCAAGGATGTTCCCTTACCATGAAGCTACTACCATTTCCTAGTCTTTTCCAAACATACCTACCCCACTATTTCTTGTGATTTATGAACAATGTTCTTTTGTTTAGTTTTTCTTTTGTTTATTTTGGATTTTTTTTTGTTTGGTTTGTTTTACACATTTCGTTTTGTTTTGGTTCGGTTTGAACTCAACTGGCTTGATTTTTTTTTGAATTTGATATTCTCATTTTGGTTGCATATAAACTGTGTGCGCATGCTTAATCGTTCATGAATTCAGATTTACTACTCCCTCCGTAGTTTAGTACTATATATAGCATGCTCTCTCTATCATTTTGATAATGTCAAAAGGGGGAAGAGAGAACAAACTCAGAAAGCTGGACTCATACCGATTCCTCTTCAAGTCTTCATCGTTTAAGCAAAGGTATAAATTTCATAATTTATTAATTTCATGAATGATGCAGACTTCTTAATACTTAGTTTATTTTACTGTTTTGTTTATATAATTAGTTTACTCAGTTAATGGTTACGAAATTTGCCTGGATGATTATTTTGTTTTAACCGAGTTTGTTTTTGT